TTGGTCTTGGACATGGTGGAGAGTTTGGAATCTGATTGATTGATTTCTTCTGTGGACAGGTGTCTTTTATACAGGTAACAAACTGAGATTAGGAGCACTCCCTTTAAGAGTGTGCTCCTAATCTTAGCTCGTTACCTGTATAAAAGACACCTGGGAGCCAGAAATCTTTCTGATTGAGAGGGGGTCAAATACTTATTTCCCTCATTAAAATGCAAATCAATTTATAACATTTTTGACATGCGTTTTTCTGGATTTTCTTGTTATTCTGTCTCTCACTGTTCAAATAAACCTACCATTAAAATTATAGACTGATCATTTCTTTGTCAGTGGGCAAACATACAAAATCAGCAGGGGATCAAATACTTTTTCCCCTCACTGTACATACAAAACCCCATAATGACAAAGCGAAAACAGGTTTTTAGAAATGTTTGCACATTTATTAAAAATTAAAAACAGAAGTAGCTTATTTACATAAGTGTTCAGACCCTTTGCTATGAGACTCGAAATTGAGCTCAGGTGCATCATGGTTCCATTGATCATCCTTGAGATGTATTTGCAACTTGATTGGAGTCCACCTGTGGTAAATACAATTGATTGGACATGATAAGGGAAAGGCACACACCTTTCTATATAAAGGTCCCACAGTTGACAGTGCATGTCAGAGCAAAAACCAAGCCATGAGGTCGAAGGAATTGTGCGTAGTGCACCGAGACAGGATTGTGTCAAGGCACAGATCTGGCAAAGGGTACCAAAAAATGTCTGCAGCATTTGAAGGTCCCCAAGAACACAGTGGCATCCATCATTCTTAAATGGAAGAAGTTTGGAACCACCAAGACTCTTCCTAGAGCTGGCCGCCCGGCCAAACTGAGCAATCGGGGGAGAAGGGCCTTGGTCAGGGAGGTGACAAACAACCAAATGGTCACTCTGACAGAGCTCCAGAGTTCCTCTGTGGAGATGGGAGAACCTTACAGAAGGACAACCATCTATGCAGCACTCCACCAATCAGGCCTTTATGCTAGAGTGGCCAGACAGAAGCCACTCCTCAGTAAAAGGCACATCACAGCCCACTTGGAGTTTCCCAAAAGGCATCTAAAGAACTCTCAGACCATGAAAAACTAGTTTCTCTGGTCTGATGAAACCAAGATTGATCTCTATGGCCTGAATGCCAAGCGTCACGTCTGGAGGAAACCTGGCACCATCGCTACGTGGAAGCATGATGGTGGCAGCATCATGCTGTGGGCATGTTTTTCAGCGGCAGGGACTGGGAGACTAATCAGGAACGAGGGAAAGATGAACGGAGCAAAGTACAGAGATCCTTGATGAAAACCTGCTCCAGAGCGCTCAGGACCTCAGACTGGGGCAAAGGTTAATCTTCCAACAGGACAACGACCCTAAGCACACAGCCAAGACAATGCATGAGTGGCTTTGGGACAAGTCTCTGAATGTCCTTGAGCAGCCCAGCCAGAGCCCGGACTTGAACCCGATCGAACATCTCTGGAGAGACCTGAAAATAGCTGTGCAGCAACGCTCACCATCCAACCTGACAGAGCTTGAGAGGATCTGCAGAAAAGAATTGGAGAAACTCCCCAAATACAGGTGTGCCAAGCTTGTAGCGTCATACCCGAGGCTGTAATCGCTGCCAAAGGTGCTTCAACAAAGTACTGACTAAAGGGTCTGAATACTTATGTAAATGTGATATTTCCGTTTTTTATTTTTTTATACATTTGCAAAAATTTCTACTAAGCAGTTTTTGCTTTGTCATTATGGCGTATTGTGTGTAGATTGATGAGGGGGAAAAAACTATTTAATTCATTTAAGAATAAGGCTGTAACATAACAAAATGTGGAAACGGTCAAGGGGTCTGAATACTTTCCGAATGCACTGTATGTGTTATTGTGTTTGTCTTTTTAGCTCCCTTAGCTTCTGCTGCACTACTACTGCCATCAAAGCTCTGCTGTGCTCAGTCAAAGCTCTGCTCTGCTGCTAGGCTACATTGTGGGATTTGTAGATTGCCTTGTGTCTCTTCTTTGCGTGCTGGTGTTCTCAAACAGACATTTTGAATTGATGAGGTTACAGAAGGATAATTTGATCACATGATAACCCACCCATTGCTACATAGAAGGAACGTGAGAAACAAACAACACGCAGTTTGATTGTGGTGTGGTTTTAATACTCATACTAATGCCTGCTTTGATGTTGTGTTGCTGGTTGCTTGACCACTTTGATTTGCTGAAGTGTGACCAGCAGTGTGATTTTCCTCTGATTTTATTCCGTGCATGTCAAACTTGATGATTGAAGCATGCTTTCCTGCATAAGGCATTCACTGACCGCATCCAGTTTATTAATTAGGCACCTTACTTAGCTATTCGAAGACGAGCGATAAAATCAGTACCAAAACAAATTCATTCACATTTTTAATTTGAATTTCTATCTCAGAATAAAAAGAGCACAATCGCCTGTCGTTGCACATATTATTATTCAAGGGTCTTTCCACTTTAATCATATGATCTTTCATGGTGAATCTATCATGTTAACAAATTAACAACACCCCTTATAATCAGACCGGGATTATTACTAATAGCTAAATCTGATACTTATAATATAACACCACTACTAGCCAAATATAAATTGGATAGTTGCACTATAATAATAATAATCATCATCATCATCATCATCATCATCATCATCATCATCGTCATAATAACAAATCCATAGACAAGAGTCAGTGAGTCCGTGGTAGAAATGAATACCGCATTATGCTCCCTGGCCAGGTTGACTGACCTCTGTTCTCCTCAGGGTGGAGTGAACACTAGTGTGAGGCATGGAGGGGTTTATGTGAAGGCCATCATCCCTAAAGGAGCCGCAGAACTGGACGGAAGGATCCAGAAGGGTAAGACTAAGATATCACCTGGGTCTTGTTCAGGAGGGAATATTGTGATAGGAAAATTTAAAAAACTAAAATCCTAGTAGTCCCTCCCTGTTTCATTCTGCTTTCCTCCCTTTATTGCCCTATGAATACAAGTCTAGGTTGTGTATAAAAGAAAAATGGTATGGGGGGATGGTAGGTTGTCCAATAAGATAGTCATCTTCTGTTGCAAAACTGATAAATTGTGCTACAGTGTGTCCTAATGAACACAACCATGGCAGAATGCAGTGTGTAGAATTCCTACCAAACCTGCCCTGGTATCATGTTGTCAGCAACTTAATGCTTGACTGGTATTTGCTGATTTTGTGTATATAATACCTGTCTTTACTGATACCAGGTGACAGAGTGGTGGCTGTCAATGGGAAGAGTTTGGAAGGAGCTACTCACAAACAGGCTGTGGAGACCCTGAGAGACACTGGACAGGTCAGTACTTCTACAGGTCAGTCAAAGGACTATATATTTAATTTTAAGTCAATCTGTTAAGTACAATGCCTTAAAGATGTGAATTTAATGGACATTTAGCTATACTTGTAACTCAGCATTGTGAGAGGGATAAAAACGTATGCTTTGTGTAAGTATTCACCACCCTTGGCATTTTTCCTATTTTGTTGCCTTACAACCTGGAATTAAAATGGATTTTTTGGGGGTTTGTATCATTTGTATCATCAACATGCCTACCACTTTGAAGATGCAAAATATTTTTTATTGTGAAACGAACAAGAAATAAGACAAAAAAACTGAAAACTTGAGCGTGCATAACTATTAACCCCCCCCCTGCAAGTCTCTGGGCTGGGCTTTGACTAGGCCATTCTAAGACATTTCAATGTCTCCCCTTTAACCACTCAAGTGTTGCTTTAGCAGTATGCTTAGGGCCATTGTCCTGCTGGAAGGTGAACCTCCGTCCCAGTCTCAAATCTCTGGAAGACTGAAACAGAATATCCCTGTATTTAGCCCCATCCATCATTCCTTCAATTCTGACTGTTTCCCAGTCCCTGCCGATGAAAAAACATCCCCATAGCATGATGCTGTCAACACCATGCTTCACTGTGGGGATGGTGTTCTCGGGGTGATGAGGTGTTGGGTTTGCGCCAGACATAGTGTTTTCCTTGATGGCCAAAAAGCTCAATTTTAGTCTCATCTGACCAGAGTACCTCATTCCATATGTTTGGGGAGTCTCCCACATGGCTTTTGGCGAACACCAAATGTGTTTGCTTATTTTTTCTTTAAGCAATGGCTTTTTTCTGGCCACTCTTCCGTAAAGCCCAGCTCTGTGGAGTGTACGGCTTAAAGTGGTCCTATGGACAGATACACCAATCTCCGCTGTGGAGCTTTGCAGCTCCTTCAGGGTTATCTTTGGTCTCTTTGTTGCCTCTCTGATTAATGCCCTCCTTGCCTGGTCCGTGAGTTTTGGTGGGCGGCCCTCTCTTGGTAGGTTTGTTGTGGTGCCACATTCTTTCCATTTTTAATAATGGATTTAATGGTGCTCCGTGGGATGTTCAAAGTTTCTGATATTTTTTTATAACCCAACCCTGATCTGTACTTCTCCACAACTTTATCCCTGCCTGTTTGGAGAGCTCCTTGGTCTTCATGGTGCCGCTTGCTTGGTGGTGCCCCTTGCTTAGTGGTGTTGCAGACTCTGGGGCCTTTCAGAACAGGTGTATATATACTGAGATCATGTGACAGATCTTGTGACACTTAGATTGCACACAGGTGGACTTTATTTAACTTATTATGTGACTTCTGACGGTAATTGGTTGCACCAGATCTTATTTAGGGGCTTCATAGCAAAGGGGGTGAATACATATACACACACCACTTTTCCGTTATTTATTTTTTAGAATTTTCTGAAACAAGTTATTTTTTTCATTTCACTTCACCAATTTTGACTATTTTGTGTATGTCCATTATATGAAATCCAAATAAAAATCAATTTAAATTACAGGTTGTAATGCAACAAAATAGGAAAAACGCCAACGGGGATGAATACTTTTGCAAGGCACTGTAGCTATGGTAGAAGTCTTTGCTCTTCTTGTTGAGACCCCTTGTCTGACCAGTGGTGTCTCTTACTCCTCAGATGCTCCACCTGGTTTTGGAGAAGGGTCATCTCCCTGCGGACTGTGTCCACGCCCCTCTGACCCTTCCCTGTGTGCCCAACAACCAGCAACAACAGCCGCAGCAAGCCCCAGAGCCTTCTAGAGCCCAGAAAGAGTATAGCTTCATTACTGATGGTGAGTGTACAGGACAGTGCAAACTCATTAACACACTCACTATATTCTTATACATACCAGCAGTTTCTCATCTTTGATGTGTAATGTTTGATTGTGTCATTGTGCCCTACTGCCATTGAGACCTTGAACAAGGCACTTAACCCCTAACCTGCTCCTGGGTGATGCTCTGCAGCTGACCCTGTGCTTCTGCCAGCCTCTTGGATGTGTGTGTGCTCTCCAGGGGGTTGGGAATTACAAAACAAAATACTAATTTCCATTTCGATGGACAATAAAGTTGTATTTTATACTTCCTTGTCCCCAGACAATGTGTTTGAGGTACCCTTGCTGAAGAACTCGTCAGGCCTAGTGTTCAGCTTCAGTAGAGAGGAGACCCTCTCTGACGAGACCACCGGTAATGGCCCTGTTACCGGCTCTAGCATGGTCAGGGTCAAGAAGCTGTTCCCTGGGCAACCAGCTGCGTTGAGCGGACGCATCAACGTGGGGGATATCATCATTCGTGTCAACCAGACGTCCCTCAAAGGACTCTCGCAGCACGTATATGTCCTCTCGTATATGTCCTGGACAACTACAAATACCTAGGTGTCTGGTTAGACTGTAAACTCTCCTTCCAGACTCACATAAAGAATCTCCAATCCAAAGTTAAATCTAGAATCGGCTTCCTATTTCACAACAAAGCCTCCTTCACTCATGCTGCCAAACATGCCCTCGTAAAACTGACTATCCTACCGATCCTTGGCTTCGGCGATGTCATTTACAAAATAGCCTCCAACACTCTACTCAGCAAATTGGATGTAGTCTATCACAGTGCCATCCGTTTTGTCTCCAAAGCCCCATACACTACTTTCCACTGTGACCTGTATGCTCTTGTTGGCTGGTCCTCACTACATGTTCGTCGTCAAACCCACTGGCTCCATGCCATCTATAAATCACTGCTAGGCAAATCCCCGCCTTATCTTAGCTCATTGGTCACCATAGCAGCACCCACCCGTAGTCTGCGCTCCAGCAGGTATATCTCACTGGTCATTCCCAAAGCCAACACCTCCTTTGGCCGCCATTCCTTCCAGTTCTCTGCTGTCAATGACTGGAACGAATTGCAAAAATCTCTGAAGCTGGAGACTCTTATCTCCCTCACTAACTTTAAGCATCAGTTGTCAGAGCACCTTACCGATCACTGCACCTGTACACAGCCCATCTGAAATTAGCCCACCCAACTACCTCATCCCTATATTGTTATTTATTTTGCTCTTTTGCACCCCAGTATCTCTATTTGCACATAATCTCTTGCACATCTAGCATTCCAGTGTTAATACTATTGTAATTATTTTGCACTATAGCCTATTTATTGCCTTACCTCCATAACTTGCTACATTTGCACACACTGTATATATATTTTCTGTTGTATTTTTGACTTTATGTTTTTTTACCCCATATGTAACTGTGTTGTTTTTATCGCACTGTTTTGCTTTATCTTGGCCAGGTCGCAGTTGTAAATGAGAACTTGTTCTCAACTGGCTTACCTGGTTAAATAAAGGTGAAATAAAAAATAAAATAAAATATATATAGATCAATCAATAATCAATCAATCAAACAATTAATTCATAATTATCTCACATCAGGGGGTTTCAAAGAGCTTTGTCAGTGAAAAAGTACTACCCTGTATGGCCATATTAAATTACTTTATTTTTAATCTGTCATTTGGCAAATCGTATTAATTTGATTTTGTTGTGGTTCTCTGCCCTGCCACTAGGAGGTGATCTCAGCGCTGCGAGGGACAGGTCAGGAGGTGACTCTGCTGCTCTGTAGACCTGACCAGGGGGTCTTACCAGAGAGGAACACCAGCACATCTTCATATGGTCCATAAACTGGCCAAAATAACAGAGATTTACTTAAAAATAAATATTTTGATTTTTGGAAGCAGATTAAGGCCAAATAACCATAAACATTGCAACAAATAACAATCACAAAACAATACAAATTTTCACATATTTTGTGAGCTAATATTCTAACGGAGTGTACCTCATGCTCCAATCCTCAGACTCCCATGGCATCGCCACGTAAGGAACCAGTGGTCCAGCAGCAGCTTGACCCCATCTCCAGCCTGTCCCTGCCCAGGACAGCCTCTCCTGTGGGGTCTGAGGGGAAGAGGAGCCTGGGTCTGGGGCCGGTGGAGGAAGCTCTGGAGAGTCTGCTCATGAAGTCCCCCAGCAGACGGGACAGCTACAGCGACAGTACTGAAGATGAGGAGGTAAGGAACACCAGGACTATAATGGAAAGACGTCTGTTTACTTTATTGTGTTTTTAATCCTTGATAATTTGTTAATGTGTGTATTGTTTTACTCAGCTGAGGCAACTATATGAATTTTTTTTTCTCAAATAACTTAAATGATTATTTCATTCATTTGTTCTTTCATTTGCTCATTCATTTGTTCATTCATTTTTTTCCATTAATTTGTTCATCTATTCATTCAGGTGGAGGAGGCCTTCAGCGCTTCTCTGGAGCAGGGCCGACAAGCCTGGGACCATAGTATCTACCAGGCCCCCAGCAGTTACCTCGCTCTGGGAAGGCTCAGCCAGTACGAGACCCCCTGTGAGCTGGACCTGGATGACACCATCGACTCTGCCTACTCCCCCAACCTGTCACTGTCCAACCGGTCGGACCTCAGCAGAAGGTAAGGATTGGATCCTACTGCTGATATTATTCGTGATAGCCTGATCCCAGAGTGTGATCCCAGATCTTGCCCAATCCCAGATCTGCTTATTCTGGGAGTTGGCAAGATGGCACAAATAGATCTGGGACCAAGTTAGGATGGTTTATAATGTATAACTGGCAAACATGGTTACAGACCCAACAACATTATAGTTACACGTGAGCTAATTATAATACACAAAGTAAGGAAAACAAAGAAATGCATGATTCCAACATTGCCTAAAATGATCAATAAGATACTAATGAGATAGACCTATATAAGCAATATGATCATTGAGATGTACAAACTACGGCATAAGGGAACAATGAGCAGATAAGAGGCAAGCCATCATTTCGATTAAGACATTAATTAGCGAGCTAAGACAGACATAGTCGATATGCCTATTTGTTCAGCACTTTTGAAATGGACAGCGACAGAATTCTGAACATGTGCCATTCTTACAGTATTCTCCCTGTACACCATGTCAGAACCGTAGGATAAATAACGGGGGCATATAAGCAGACAATAAAAGCTGATGATGACATTTCTCTAAAACAGGCTAAAGGCTATATGTGCACGAACAAGTCAGAACAGTAGGCTAAGTTCTGAGGGGGAGAGGGACCAAATTCTTAGGGTGAGACACATGGGGAACTAACAGCTTACTACACAGCATACACTTAGTATTACTTTCTTAGCTACAGTATACATATCTCCCTGGCATATTACACTGAACCAAAATATAAACGCAACATGCAATAATTTCAAAAATTTTACTGAGTTACAGTAAAAGGAAATCAGTCAATTGAAATAAAATCATTAGGCCCTGATCTATGGATTTCACATGACTGGGAATACAGATATGCATCTGTTGGTCACAGATACCTTTAAAAAAAGTTAGGGACGTCGATCAGAAAACCACTCAGTATCTGGTGTGACCACCATTTGCCTCATGCAGCGCGACACATCTCCTTCGCATAGAGTTGATCAGGCTGTTGATTGTGGCCTGTGGAATGTTGTCCCACTCCTCTTCAATGGCTGTGTCAAGTTGCTGGATATTGTAGGGAACTGGAACACGCTGACGTACACGTCGATCCAGAGCATCCCAAACATGCTCATTGGGTGACATGTCTGGTGACTATGCAGGCCACGGAAGAACTGGGACATTTTCAGCTTCCAGGAATTGTGTTCAGATCCTTGCGACATGGGGCTGTGCATTATCATGCTGAAACATAAGGTTATGGTGGCGGATGAATGGCACGACAATGGGCCTCAGGATCTCGTCAGGGTATCTCTGTGCATTCAAATTACCATTGATAAAATGCAATTGTGTTCGTTGTCCGTAGCTTATGCCTGCCCATACCATAACCCCAACGCCACCATGGGGTCTCTGTTCACAACATAGACATCAGCAAACTGCTCGCCCACACAACGCCATACACGCGGTCTGCCATCTGCCCGGTACAGTTGAAACTGGGATTCATCTGTGAAGAGCACACTTCTCCAGCATGCCAGTGGCCATCGAAGTTGAGCATTTGCCCACTGAAGTCGGTTACGACGCCGAACTGCAGTGAGGTCAAGACCCTGGTGAGGACGACGAGCACGCAGATGAGCTTCCCTGAGACTTTTCTGACAGTTTGTTCAGAAATTCTTCAGTTGTGAAAACCCACAGTTTCATCAGCTGTCCGGGTGGCTGGTCTCAGACAATCCCACAGGTGAAGAAGCCGGATGTGGAGGTCCTGGGATGGCGTGGTTACATTTGGTCTGGGGTTGGACTTACTGCCAAATTCTCTAAAAAGACGTTGGCGGCTTATGGTAGAGAAATTAACATTAAATTATCTGGCAACAGCTCTGGTGGACATTCCTGCAGTCAGCATGCCAATTGCACATGGCATTGTGTTGTGTGACAAAACTGTTGTTGTGCTCACTTGAACAGGAAGGTGGCGCAGCGGTCATTCTTGTGGCAAACTTTCATAAAACTTTGACTTTGTCATCAAAGTCTGGCATTCTCTGGATGAAGTCAAGCTGGATTGACAGCATGGCCACTGTATTCAACCTTTTCTGGCCCATGGTGTTGCGTGTGAATTTTTATCCTTTTAAGCTTGTAAAAGAGTCCCTTTCAGACAGATGTTTTAAATCCTTAAACCGAGACTTGGACCACACATCCTCTTCACCGAATATCAGGCAGGGGAAGCAAAATAGTGATTCCTAACGACGCTCGCGGTTAGCCACTGATTTTTTTCCAAACCACTCATTATTGAATTTGTGATTTCCAACTTGTAGTGTAATGTTCATGTCCAATGGCCGATGAGCACCGATACGTTTTATCTATAATTGATCTTCATATGACAAGGCTTGAAAAGGATTTGCCAGTAGATTGTCGACGTGATTCATGATGATGACTGCTTGTCTAGCTATCTAGCTTGCTAGCTAAGATTCTGAAAATATGATGTTGACATGATCAGTCCAATCAAGGCTACGGTAGATATAACGTGATTTGACGTCATTTTATCTGTGGCCAATGAACTTGAGCCTTGTTGGACGGGCACTTCTACATGTAAATCTATGGCAGCACCCAGTGGGGCTTGAACTGCCTAGCTCTCCTTGTAGATTCTGCAGTGACGTATGTCCCATGAGTCACAGAACACTGAGCCAATCACGACGCAACTAGAGAAGATTACCAATGCCTACGCTCTTTGCTTTCGCTGGCTGCCCCTCCACTACAGAAAGGACTGAGCTAGGCTGAAATACCTGCATTTTGGAGCTGCTTTACGCTTTACTCAAGAAAGAGACCATGTTTGTATGTGGCTTTATTAACTCAAGGATTTTATTTTTGGACATTGTTTGCAAACTGATATGTGACACAAATTAATGTCAGAATAACATGCAAAACAAGGAATTTTAATTTTTAATAATAGTGAGAGGGAAGTGGGGGATGCAGAATTGAGACATCACCTCATGACGTAACCTAATGGCAGTTTTCCTTGCCATTGTGCTTCTGCCTCTGCTTCTACTTGCTCTTTGGGGTCTAGGACGACATACTATAAAAAGCACTTCATGACAAATAAAGTGGCCTTTGAAAATACATTTGATTGATTTCTTTTTTTTTTTTCTGGATGTTTCCCCAGGTGTCCCTCCTCCTCCCCTCTGGCTCATGACCTGGACACCACTCCTCAGTCCATGGTATTATCTCCAGAAGTCCCCAGCCCCGACCCCCTGCCTTCCCCTCTACCACTTCCCCTCAACCTTATCCACACCGTGCCCGACAATGTAAAAGATGTGGACGAGTTTGTGCCGGTAAGAGCAGATAAACACTAGGTCTGTGTCAAATATTATGTCAAAAAATCCTCCCTTACATCTTTGTTTCCTCCATTTATTGCCACTCTCTCACATTGGAGAATGAGGTCCAAGGAAACCTCTCAAGGACACAGGGAGCAGGGATTTGATGTGCATTATCCATGTAGTTATGTAATTATGTAATATTCAGTCTATTAGCCATTTTTTACCCCTGTTATAACAATAGTGTTCGTTTACACCTCTCTGTCAGGATGTGGAGCTGAAAGTGTCCCTGGTGAAGTCTGAAAAAGGAAGCCTGGGGTTTACTGTGACCAAAGGAAACGACCTGGGCTGTTACATCCATGACATCATACAGGACCCAGCCAAGGGAGACGGCGGATTGAGGGCCGGGGATCAAATGATAATGCTACACAGCCATTACTGAACACTCAGCCAGTTCCAAATCACTCACTACCCCTCCTCTTTGGCCCCAACTTTTCAATTTCTGCAGCTCTGAATGGTCTGGATAGGTACAGTGCCTTGCGAAAGTATTCATCCCCCTTGGCGTTTTTCCTATTTTGTTGCATTACAACCTGTAATTTAAATGGATTTTTATTTGGATTTCATGTAATGGACATACACAAAATAGTCCAAATTGGTGAAGTGAAATGAAAAACTTGTTTCCAAAAATTCTAAAAAATAAATAACGGAAAGTGATGCGTGCATATGTATTCAAAATAATCCAGGTAGAGTCAGGCATTCCCCAGGGCAGCTGTCTAGGCCCCTTACTTTTTTCAATATTTACTTGTAGTGGTATTGTTCGAGAGGGGTAAAGATAAAGATTTTTGTTCGGGCGCCAGGTATTAACCCTGCCGAAAGGAAAAGAGTAGGATCGATAGAGACCCGCTACCAGAGGCACACACATCAGCAGAAGAAACTGCCTAGAGGGTAGTCTGTTTGCCAGATAGCCAGTGGAGTGAAAGGATAAGACACACCATATGAAACACACGTCACAGCACAGTAACCCAATCAATAATACCTCATACAAGAATAATGGCAGAGCAATTCAAAGGCAACTTCATAGAAACAATTGACAAGAAAGAACCCAGTCATAACCCTTAGATAATTTGCAATATTCTGTATTACCTCCCAGTGGAGGAGTGCGGGGGGGGGGTATGAATGGCCTTAAAATGTCCAAAGTCTTCTCGGCCAAATGTCAACAGTACCACACCAAATCAATACAGTTCAAACAACAATAAACTCGCACGCAACCTCCCTTTAACTAAAATGTAAACCCAAATACGTCTGGCAGGGCAATAATAGTCCAGCGACACTGAACATCAAAGTGAGCGCAATGAAAAAAAACTAAGTCTGTTGCAGTGTAAAGCACTGGAGCGATAGAAATCTTAGCTGTTGACTTCATGCTTGCAGTTGTACTGTCTGTCCTTTTGATGGTTTGTTGGTTTGTATTTCAAAGCTTCGCAACATTGTTGCTACTACTCCATGCGATCAATTACAGGACCGGTCCCAAAAGATTACAACCACGACCTAGAGCGGAAACACCGGCGATCGACTTAAACACTTTACAAACTAAGCACGCTGAAAATAAACAAGACTTCTGCAGAGTTGCACACATTATCAAACTCCTGCACGAACCGAGAGCTCCTACACAGAGCCGGAAGAGCTATCTTTATTTTATCCTTCCTG